AGGATATTATGCTGAGTGAAATAAGTCAATCACAGAAGGACAAATGTTCTATTAGTCCACTATTGTGAAAAGTCAAGGAAAGGTTTACATATGGAAGGAAACTTTCTTTGTTGGTTACCAGGGACTGGGGGTGGGGAGGGGAGGGAACACTGCTAGATAGGTTGATTTGTGTGAAGGGAAGGGCAATACCCCAAATGTGAGTGATCAACACAGTGGCATTGAGGAAGAGGAAGACACAGAGAGGTACATGGGAGGTACAGACAACAAAGATGACCCCTCTCACACATCCAGTACTGTGTTGTCAATGATGGCAAACATTGATCTATCTGTGGATAGATGGGTGGACAGGCTGAATGATCAGGCATATCTAGGCAGGGAGTGTGTGTGCCATGACCATATATAGGGTTGGCAGGAGATGCTTCTTCATGTGTATTTGTGTGTTCTATAAGAAAGTTCAGGTATATAGTAGAGCTGACAAGGAACAAGGCCGTGGTGACTTCTTGGACACAGTCAGCTACCCAGAAGGAGTGAGTAGCTGGACCTGTGGGCTCAGAACCATGGTCATAGGCGACATCAACCTCAACTGTCATAATACACTACATAAAACATTGTTCCACATCCTACTTTGGTGAGTAACAACAGGGATCTTAAAAGCTTGCAAGCAGCCATCTAGATGCAATGATGGGTCTCTCCTCATCCAGAGCAAAGAAGAATGAAGAAAACCAAAGATGCATGGAAACAATTAGTCCAAGGAACTGGTACACCATGCCATCCTCAGCCTATATGACTATGAGACGGGAAGAGCTAGATGGTGCCTACCTACCACTATCAACCACTCGGAGGGGGATCTGTGTAAGAGATCCTGGATAGAGAGGGAGAACAATGTGGAATAAAATTCAATATATAAAAAATATATATAAAAAAAGACCAGTCTTGCTGGTCTGATAGAGCCTGGTGAAACCCCTGAGACTATGAGCCCTAACTATCTTTCAGGTCTGGAACTGAACTGTTGTTTCCAGCCAAATAAGTCCGGCATCTGGGCTGAAAATTTACATCAGGTAGATACATTCTTCGAAGGGATCAATCATGGGAGAACAGAAGGGCAGCGTATGCAAAGGGAGAGAGCTTGGGGCAGGAAAGCATGGGAGGGAAGGACACAAGGAAGAGGTAACTACAGGGAGAAAGTGGGAAGAGAGCTGTTTGTTATGTTGTGGGAAATTGCAATCAATGTCAAGACACAAAATGCGGATGGAAAATGAATTTGCTCTATAAACTTTCACTCAAATCACAATAAAAATTAAAAAAATAATGCTGTAATGAACATTGTTGTAAAAAAAAGAAAAAATAACAGAATTCTAATATTGTTCAAATAGTTTCAGATACAGAACAAGATAACTATCCCCCATATTCTGTTTTAAGAATTGCTAAATCTCTGGTAGCATAGTGGCTAAAGCACTTGACTGCTAACCAGAAGGCTGGCGGTTCAAACCCACCAGCCACTCCTCGGAAGGAAGGTTGGGCAATCCTACTTCCGTAGTGATACTGCCTCGGAAACCTAAGGAGGGGTCGCTATGAGTCGGGGCCGACTCGATGGCACATAACAACAACAACAACAAATCTTGATACCAAAAACTGAACATCACTGCAAACAAGTAAGTCAAATTAGAGACCAATTTCACTTATAATATTGAAGCAAAAATTCTAAATAATGAATTGGCAAGCAGAATTCAACAAACTGTTAAAGGCATAGCATATGATGCCAAAACAAGTGTTTATATTAGAAATTCAAGGATAACTAAATATTAGGTTCTTTAAAATAAATCATTATGAGATATCTAAAGAGGAAAAATCTATGATCATCTCCAGAGATACTGTTGAAAGACATTTGATAAAATTAAATATCCATTCTTGATTTGAAACTCTCAATAAAATAGACAAGAATTCTATTTTAAGAAGGAATAGCTCAAAACAATCTCCAGTAAAGTCAGACACAAGAAAAGGACATCCACTCTCTTTCCTGTTAGTTAACACCTTTGTGAAAGGTAAAAGCCATAGAAATCATGGAGAAAAATAAATTTGAAATGTAACTACAGTAATTAAAAGGAAAGTAGTAAAATATTTACCATGAAAATATTAAATGATATTATCTGAAACAATAATATTGCAAACATGAAAAACCCAACAGAATCTACCAGAAAACTACCCTGAAAATAAGGCAATTCAATGAAATTCTGACTCGTGGTGACCCTGGGAAGGTTGTCCTTGCTGTCAATTAGAGTAAAACTGTGCTCCATGGAGTTTTCAAGGCTGTGACCTTTTGGAAGCAGATCACCTGGCCTTTCTTCTGAGTCACCACTGGGTGAGTACAAACAGCCAACCTTTAGGTTAATCCAAAACCAAACAAATTCACTTCTATCGAATTGGATTCAACTCATAGCTACCCCTCCTTGGGTTTCCGAGACAGTATCACTATGGATCTAGATTGCCTAATCTTCCTACCGAGGAGTGGCTGGTGGGTTTAAACAGCCAGCCTTCTGGTTAGCGGTCAAATGCCTCGGACACTATGCTACCAGAGATCCCTTTAGGTTAATAGTGCAGTGCTTAACTGCAACACTCAGGAACTCTCAGTGAGGTAATAGTAGAATATACAAATAATGCACAGAAATCAGTACTTATATATGGAAATAAACAAAACGTTAGCATGATATGATTAAGGAAGTACCTTCATTTATAGTAACATTAAAAACAAAATACCTAGTGCAATATTTATGTGCCAAATGTATAAGTTCCAAACTTATATGAAGGAAAGTGATTGGTCTACACCAGACACACGGTTGTGCCTGCCATAAGTGATTGGCTCAGGCAATGCCTGGGACTAGCTCAATTCTAGAAAATAGGACACTCTTGGAAGCCTGCAGAAAATTAAACTCTCTTCTTGCCTCTACTTTGTTGAGCCTGCACAGATACTTGGAACTGTGACCTGTGTGAAAGTAAAGGCAGGGTGTGAAGGAGAGCAGAAGCAAAAAGACTGCAGGAAAGTGGCGTCTGGGCTCCGATCAGCCTGCATCTGAGCACTCTGTTAGGTGGTATTACTTGTTACATCAGCCAGTTCAGTTGGCACTTTCAGTTAACTTGTAGTCAAATTACATCTGCTGTAAAAGCTACATCATGTTTGGTTGAAACAAAGATGTTTTTCTTTCTGAGTATGCCCAGTCCTTAGATAATCGAGGGCCCTGTTGAAAGGGACAAGGATAACAGGGATTTGGGAGTGATGCAGATATCTGCTGTTTCTCATGGATTTCATTGAGGGAGCTGGAACCTTTGATTAGAGAGGATGTCCCCTATCCCAGTACAATATGAGCACAGATGCCCCATCTGTCTATGCCTTGCTAAGGCACTCAGGGCTCTGCAGGAGCTGTCTCACTGTACACAGCAATATGCCAGCACTTTTTAAATAGATTTTGACTATAAATTTTCTACCAATTTCTACGTAAATGTTTTAATGTAAAGAAAGTATGTATGTGTGTGTCTGTGTGTATATATATATATATATATATATATATATTCTAAATCTTAAAAGAAAAAGAGAGTACAACAATATGTAAATGAACTGGAGGTTCCAGCTAACCATTGGTTTTTGTGAAGTTGTAGTAATTTGATCCCTTCTTTTTAACGTCATTGACAATGTCTATTACCATTGTTTTTTGTTTGTCTATGCTTGTGTTTAGAGATAGACCCAAATCATCATGACAGAGTGGATCTTTCACTCAGTCCCCTGACATGAATATTAGTTTGGGAGCTCTGGTAGTATAGTGGCTAAGGCACTTGACTGCTAACCAAAAGGCTGGCGGTTCAAACCCACCAGCCACTCCTTGGAAGGAAGATGGGGCAATCTACTTCCGTAGTGATACTGCCTTGGAAACCCAAGGAGGGGTCGCTATGAGTCGGGTCCGACTTGACGGCACATAACAACAACATTGTGATGTCTATCTACCCTATAACCAAAATCGCTAACACCCAATAATACAGGACACAAACCACATTTTTAATAATCCTGTTATAACACACACAAAAAGTGATTCAGCCATAACTTGTAAGAAACATAACGCAAAAAGACTATTCAGTTAGTTAACCCTGTTTGCTCATCAGTTGTGGTTAGCCAGGTTGTGGGCTCCAACATGAAATACCTTAGGTAGAGTGCAAGATCTCCACATTCCAATATGCCAACATACCCTCAGCAAATAAACCAGCCTACAGAGACCTCACTAAACGTACAGAGAATATCACCAGGCTAAGAAACCCAGGTTTGGGGGCCTCAAATCCCAGCAGTCTGAGGGCAGCAAAAAGGACCATACGACCATAGACCACAGCCTGTATAAAAGTAAGATAGTCTCTATGCTCCTATGTCACCTTCTTTAAGATCCAGAGGTCATTAGCGACAGACCTTTTTCTGTCTCCCAACAGACCCAAATGTAAAATATAAATATAACATTAAAATAGGTCTTAGAGAACGGCCAGTTGCATCCTTTATGACACTTTATCCCCAGAAACCAGTTCCACAAGAAAGCTGACTACTGAAGCCTCTCTCTATTTAGAGAATTTCCTTTTGAAGGTTATTCCTGCCATAATTTATCAATGAAATCTTCTGCATGCCCAGCAAAAATGTTGCAGAGTGCCAGTCTCTTAGGAGTCTTTAAGGTGGAGCATGGAGTTACATGCTCCCCAGATGGAAAATTGGGCGATCTACTTCCGCACTAATACCACTTCAGAAACCCCAACATTGCAATGAGTCAGATCCGACTCTATGGCAGTGAGTTTGGTTTTGGTTAAGTATACTTTTGAAACTAAAAGCACATCTTCCGAGAGTTTCAGCCTGCTACTGTAAGGGCTTATACCTTTTAAAAGACAATTTTTAATGAGGTAAGAAGCCCACAGCTATTTTAGTAAATGTAGGTGGCTCTGAAAAGAGCCTTTGGGTTGTGACACTTTGTGGAGTCATTTTACTTGGAACTGGTGTATTTGGTGACGGCCTTGGTGCCCTCCGACACGGCGTGTTTGGCCAGCTCCCCGGGCAGCAGCAGGCGCACAGCAGTCTGGATCTCCCTGGATGTGATAGTTGAACGCTTGTTGTAAAGAGCCAAGCGAGAAGCCTCGCCTGCTATGCGTTCGAAAATATCAGTGACAAAAGAATTCATGATGCTCATGGCCTTGGAGGAGATACCAGTGTCCGGGTGAACCTGCTTCAACACCTTGTAGATGTAAATAGAATAGCTCTCTTTACGGCATTTCTTGCGCTTTTTCCCTTCTTTCTTCTGAGTTTTAGTCACAGCTTTCTTGAACCCCTTCTTGGAAATAGTAGTACCCTTTGAAGTCACCTCCGGCATTATCAATGCACCCCACGACTCTTTTCCAACTGTTGGTGAGCGGAAGAGTGGTATTTATAGGCACGACGCTCAAATGACGTCTTGGTGGAACAACATCTGATTGGATAATAGGGAATGTCGTGTATGTAAATGAGGTGATTCCAATAAAGCTCTCTGATTGGGTAGACAACCATTAGCCAATCAGATAGCATAGCACAATAGACCGGTCTGAGTATAAATAGCCCTTGGTAACGCCCTCTGATCAACGGTTTTTCCGTTATAACCGGCTTCATTTGGTCTGTGATGTCAGGACGTGCTGAGCAGGGAGGCAAGGCACGTGCCAAAGCCAAGTCTAGCTCTTCCAGAGCAAGTTTGCAGTTTCCTGTGGGCAGGATTCATCGTCTTTTTCGCAAAGGCAATTATGCTGAGTCCATCGGGGCCGGTGCGCCAGTGTACCTGGCAGCAGTACTGGAGCACCTGACCGCTGAGAATCTGGAGCTGGCGGGAAACACGGCCCACGACAAAAGCAAGACATGCATCGTCCCCCGGCACCTGCAGCTGGCCATCTGCAATGACGAGGAGCTCAACAAGCTTCTGTGTGGTGTGACCATTGCTCAGGGCGGTGTCCTGCCCGACATTCAGGCCATGCTGCTGCTGCCCAGGAAGACCGAGAGCCATCACAAAAAGTGCAGTGCAAGGAATGGCTCCAAATTGCAAAGCCTACCAAAAACATCTTGAGGGGGAGGGAGAAGGGAGAAAAAGCTTAATTGAAACCAAAGGCTCTATTCAGAGCCACCCATGGATTCAGAGAAAGAGCGTAAGATGGTTAAAGTAACTGATTTGCTTTCATTCTCAATATGCTATCTAAAGGACTTTGAAAAGAAGCTGCATTTTTTGAGAATTGAGGTCTCTGAACCAGTTCATTTTAAGCGTCAATAACCAAGCCACTCAAGTCCTTGGAGATATGGGCATCAGAGTGGAACTGTTAGAGCACCAACTTTTAGCAGGCTTCTGGTAGTGGATATGCCATCCTTGAGGTAATCTTAGGAGGCTCTGTGAAGAGTAAATTTAGCATCTGAAAGGTTGATGACTGAGTCCACCCACCCAGAGGTGAGACTTGAGCGTAGTTGTTTGTTTTAAAATGGTAAGACCTGAATGATGATTGGATTAGAAGGAAAACCTGAAAACCAAACCACTGCTAATCAAGTCTGTTCAAACTCTTAAAAACGCTATCGAACAAAGTAGAACTGCCCCAGATTAGACGTAAAGGAAGGTTAAACTTGCCGTTTTCAGCTCAACTCCAGAGAGCAAACCTACAGGACATCAGCAAGTAAAGCACAATATACCCCTAGGCTGCAAGGTTTCTCAAGCCTTTTTCTAGCGGAGGATTTCCTTAAAGAGTTCTAGGATGGTTTTTTATTTTGAAATCTGTAAATGTGGCATATTAGTAAGCCGATATTTTACATGAAAAAACTAAAGATGAATATATTGATGTTTTAATGTGTAGGATATATCTCAAACAGTAGCCTAATACCATTTGATGGTGAAATACTAGTGTCAGCATGAATCAGTAATGTGAAGAGTGCTTTAGGCACTATGTTAAGCTCCCACTTAGAAAGGGAAAATATACCTAGAAAGTTTCTTTAAATTACTGTACAAAGAAGCAGTTTTTTAAAATCAAGTTAATATATCTGAAAATATTGAGGAAATGTAAGAGAGAGGGAGAGGGAGAGAAAATGTTGGAAAATTTGGAAAAATGTAAATTGCTTTTGGAAAAAATGTAAATCACTTCAATTGAACCTAGATAGCAGTAAGGTCTGAGAGGAATGGGGAATAAATGACATCATCAGTGAGTTACTATTCTGTAAGAAGGGATTTCCAAGAGTGTTTTCTGACAGACTTTTTTTTTTTTATTATTTGGGTGAAGATTTACAGAGTAAATTCACTTTTCATACAGCAGTTCACATATACTTTGTCGCATGTCATTGACCAAAATTTACCACAATGCAACAGCTCCCCACCCACTTCCTCCCTGTAGTTACCTCTTGCCAGTGTCTGACAGACTTTTAAGGAAATGGTAAATCTACTTTCGCATTGTCTGCCTCCTGTATGTCTCTGTGTCTTTTGCAAACGCAGCCTATTCTTATGTCCCTGGAATCTGAATGAGAATGCTGTCACTTTAAAATCCAAATGGCCACCGCCTGTAAACATTCAAAATGGCTGCACCTTTAGTCACTTTAAATATGCAAAATGGCCACCACTTGGTCACTTTAAATATCCAATGGACTCCATATGTAAACAATCAAAATGGCCGTGCCCTTCGTACAGCCGAAAGTCCACAGCTCAGGTTGTCTCCTTCCTTGCTGTTTCCTTTCCTAGTCATAGGCCACCAGCGCAGTCATCCCTGCAGCCCTTGGTGACCAGGGCTGATCTTTAGGTCAATTCTCAGGTTCCAACACTACTAGGGAATATTCAGGCTGTTGCTCCTGTCAGAGTAGCTTACAGTCCACTGCTCTGAAAGTCTCCATACGCACTGTTTTCATTCAGGTTTTTCCCACTAGTTGGTGCCTAATCCACTTCTGTATGTTGTTGTTGTTGTTGTATGCCGTTGAGTCAGACCCGACTCATAGCGACCCCTCCTTGGATTTCTGAGGCAGTATCACTACAGAAGTAGATTGCCCAACCTTCCTTCCGAGGAGTGGCTGGTGGGTTTGAACGGCCAGCCTTCTGGTTAGCAGTCAAGTGCTTTAGGTATAATTCCTTTCAAAGTTCAGGGCTCCAGGATTATCTTCTGTATATGTGTCAATTGGTTTCTCTTTTCTTTGTTGAAGAAGGTCTGTGGAGCTTGTCTGCCTATTCCCCATTGTTAATTTTTTAATGGATTATCAGAATAGGTTGTTCATATTTAACAGGTGTTTGTGAATTGTTAATTATAGCTGAGACTGCTGCATTTAGTAGCAAACTTTCTTCATAGATCTTGTCATATATTTTCTTCAAAAATATAAATGAAAAATTTTCATAATATGTATTTTATTAAATTTATCATTTCCTTAAAAGTCTGTCAGAAAACACCCTTGGAAATCCCTTCTTACAGATTGTGAACAGGGAACCAGAGACATCGGTTGACAAATGAAGACAACTACAAACCAAAAAGAGGGAAAAACTGTATAGTTACAGAACCTCTAAATGGTAGGGACGTCAAGACAACTACAAGATAGAATGGACTGTCATAAACTTGGAAGAAAATTATAAATCACAAGGTAACCTCAAAGAAAAATGATAAACCTTTATATCAAAATAAAAAAGAGGACCAGCACAAATATTTAGCAAATACTAAAACAATAGCAACGAAGGAAGTGATAACACAATTCATAAACAAAACGAGTTCAGCACAGAAAATTACATGGAACAAAGAAATCTACACCACAAAAAAGCACATAACAAAATGACAGCAACAAATTCATACTTATCGATAATTACATGTCTGATAAGGGATTTATCTCTGAAATGTATAGAAAACTCCAACATCTCAACACCAAAAATATTAACAATCCAATTTAAAAAATGGGCTGAAGAGACATTAATGGACACTTCACCAAAGAGGATATTCAGGCAGCCAGCAAATACATGAAGAAATGCTCACGACCATTAGCCATCAGAGGGATGCAAATCAAAACAATGAGATACCCTCTCACCCCAGCACTAATGGTAAAGTTCAACAAGACAGAAAATGGTGGATGCTGGAGAGGTTGTGGAGAAATTGGGAGTCTCATACACTGCTGGTGGGACTTTCAAATGATACAACCACTGTGGAAAACAGTATGACAATTCCTTAATAAGCTGGAATTAGAAATACTATTTGAGCCAGTGATTCCATTACTAGGTATATATCCTAAAGAAATGAGAACCAGGACAAGAACAGATACATACACACTCATGTCCATTGCAGCACTATTTACAATTGCCAAAAGATGGAAAACCTACATGCACATCAACAGAAGAATGGATAATCAAACTATGGTAAATACACACAATGGAATACTACGCAACCCTAAAGAATAATGTAAAATCTGCAAAACACCACATAACATGGATGGACTTGGAAGACATTATGCTGAGTGAAATAAGTCAATCACAAAAGGATAAATATAGTATTAGTTCATTATTGTAAAAAGTCAAGAAAAGGTTTATATATGGAAGGGAACTTTCTTTGTTGGTTAGGGGTGGGAAGGGAGGGGAGGGAAGACTGCAAAAAAAAAGAACAAAACCACACATTGACCCATGTCACTTTAGTTTTATGTACATAAATTAGTTTTATGGACATAAATTATATTTCAATAAAATGCATTTAAAAAAATAAAAATAAAAAAATTAACAGTGGCTAATCGTATCCATCTAAGAAGTGTAAGACTGAAAGGTGAGTAAAATTCAAACTTAATTCATTTTATAAAGCTAGAGGAAAAACATATTAAACTCAATAGATGACTAAAATGTATTTGCTAATATGCAGTTGAAAACATAATTTCCGGTAAGTCATTGGTCTTGCAGATTTCTGACATAGAATCTCTGGCACCATTTCAATCACGAAGGCTGTATTTTCTAACTACTGATCCTTCTTTGTTTCCAGCTTTTAAATTCCAATCAATCCAGTGAATACATTTTAATTGCCTATTTGCAGCAAGTTGTAAACATCTTTAGTTTATTAATCTTTGGCATTTTGGTTGATCTGTAATTTCAGTAGTAGTCATATTAATTGGTCTTCCTTGTGTTGTTGTTGTTGTTAGGTGCTGTTGAGTTGTCTCCCACTCATAGCAACCCTATGCACAGCAGAACGAAACACAGCCCAGTCCTGTGCCAGCCTCACAGTCCTTGCTTTACTTGAGCCCATCATTGCAGCCACTGTGTCAGTCCATCTCATTGAGGCCCTTCTCCTTCTTCGTTGACCCTCCACTTTACCAAGTATGATATCCTTCTCCAGGGAATAGTTCCTCCTGACAACATGACCAAAGTAGGTGAGATGAAATCTGGCCATTCTTGCTTCCAAGAAGCATTTCTTCTTCTGCACTTCTTCCAGGACAGATTTGTTAGTCCTTCTAGCAGTCCGTGGTACACTTAGCATTCTTCTCCAACACCACAACTCAAAAGCATCTCTTCTTCAGTCTTCCTTATTCATTGTCTAGTTTTCACATGCATAAGAGGTGATTGAAAATATCATGGCTTAGGTTAGGCACACCTTTGTCTTCAAGGAGACATCTTTGCTCTTCATCACTTGAAAGAGGTCTTTTGCAGCAGATTTGCCCAATGCAAAATGTTGTCTCATGTATTGACTGCTGTTTCCATTGATGTGGATTGTAGAACCAAGCAATATGAAGTCTTTGACAACTTCAATCTTTTCTCTATCCATCATGAAGCTGTTTATTGGACCAGTTGTGAGGATTTTTGTTTTCTTTATATTGAGTTGTAATCCACACTTCAGACTGTAGTCTTTAATCTTCATCAGTAAGTGCTTCAAGTCATCTCACTTTCAGCAAGCAAAATTGTGTCATCTGCATATCACAAGTTGTTAATGAGTCTTCCTCCAATTCTTATGTCACATTCTTCTTCATATAATCCATCTTCTTGGATTATTTGCTCAGCATACAAATTGACTAAGTATGGTGAAATGATACAACCCTGACACACTCCCTTCTTGATTTTAAACCATGCAATATCCCCTTGTTCTGTTTAAATGACAGCCT